CAATCATTCCCCTTCTTAGAGCTCACCTACAATAAATCTTTTCGGGCTTTTATGGAACACAGCCTATGACACTGTTGTTATCATAATTACCTCTGAATTTATTATTTCTTTAATGCAAGTTGTTCCCATATATTTCACTTGAAGCCAAAGGCTGGTGCTTTCAAACTCACACTGGCAGCTCATAGGGTCCGTGGGTACTATACGGAGCGACTCGTGTGTACAAACTCTCCTACACTTACACTTGACACTATTCTGCTATTGAGGCATTTTTGGAATGAAGTCTAACACCATTTGTGTTAAATTTTTAACATTTGTTTTTATTAATTTTATCATAAATGTATACCCCAGGTTATCCGGGTCAGTTCAGATTCTCATTATTCATTTTAAAAGCCATCCATAACCACATGGTCCCTCACATCCCAATTCTACCCCTGAAGTAACACTGCAAACTAGGTTAAAATTTCCTATACATACAACATCTGTATCCTAGATGAGGGATGGAGAAAAAAAGAGTTCCTCTGTTTATATACAGGAGAAAGAGGCAAAACATGAGGAAGAAAAAACTTTGCTCCACAGAGAACAGATGGAAAGGATCCTAGAAATGTATATACATCTCTCTCCAGTATCTCTGGATTTTATGAAGTATTTTTCCTTAGAATGTACACACATTCTTCCCAAGGCAAGCGTATTTCTCTGGAGACCTCTCACTAGCTATACAGTAAATGAACTTCCCAAGGGTTGTTCTTAGCTGAGGATCCCAAGTTTTCTGCAAAATTTATTCAAAAACTCCAACTCCATAGAAAAATAAGAATATTTTCTCTGTGCCACTCACACACATCTGTCTCAAGAATCAGCACAAGCTACCAACTCACCACCTCTGATCATAGGCTGCCTGAAGTCGCCTCTCTCAATATGTCTAAAAGCCTGGCCTAGACATAAAGACTTTCTATTTCTACTATACATCATTTCTGGGTGACAGGATGGATTATTGTTCTACCAATAATAGACAATTTTTCAGTAGGTAATAAATAGCTCACATATACTATATATATTTTGGCAAAGTCTTGGCAGTTTTCAGAAGGGAAAAATATTCATTGAATTTAAACCTGAGGTGGTTGTACATCTCTAAAACAGAAATTCAGGCATTTAAAAAGTCACCTTCATTCTTTTCACAATTTCTTCAAAGTTGTTTCTTTCTCAAAAATCCCCAGTGACTTATACCATATACTCTTTGATCATTTTTGGTTTGGGATACAGTTTCCAAAGGCCTGTCAGGTTTCTGCATGTATAGTGTGCAGGGGCACTGACAGCTTTTGTCTCAGCTGTCTATTCAACAATGTTTGCAAAGTGAACAGCCTTGGAAAATGGAGATAGTGTCTCCCTCTGGAGCATAGAGCAGGTTTATTGACTAGCCAACATAATGAAGATAGTATCTCCTTCTGAGGTAAAGGCCAGGCAGGTTTGCTTGCAACCCATTGTCAAAACACAGGGTTTCCCTAAGCTCAGGGTTCCACAGCCGTGACGCCAACCCACTGTGTGCACAGCATCTCCCTGAGTCCTTGCATCTCCACACTGTGAGACCTAAAGACAAGAGGAACTATATTAATTTCTGTTGCTGTTGTAAAAAAACAAAACACAACTAAAAATGTGGAGTTGGCAATGGGCAGTGGCTGGTAGAATATTGAAGAACACGATATAAACTGACTAGATTGCCTTGAGTAGACTGTTAGTAGAAATATGGATGTGAACAACTGTAAGTGAGGACTCAGAGGGAAGTGCTGAGCATGACAGAAAACAAAATTATCTGGCGGGGCACAGTGGCTCACATCTGTAATCCCAGCACTTTGGGAGGCTGAGGCAGGCGGATCACAAGGTCAAGAGATCGAGACCATCCTGGCCAACAGATGAAACCTCATCTCTACTAAAAATACAAAAATTATCCGGGCATGGTGGTGCACACCTGTAGTCCCAGCTACTCAGGAGGCTGAGGCAGGAGAATCGTTTGAACCCGGGAGGCAGAGGTTGCGGTGAGCCGAGATCATGCCATTGCACTCTAGCCTGGCAACAGAGAGAGACTCCATCTCCAAAAAAAAAACAAAAAAACAAAAAAATTCTTATGAACTACCTAAATCATCATGAACAGACTATTGGTGGAAATATGGACATTAAAGGTACTGCAGATGAAAGTTAAAATGGAAATGAGGAACATGTGATTGGAAAGGGGAGAAAAGGAGATCCTTGTTACCTAGCAGCAGAAAGCTTAGGTGAATTGTGCCCTGCAATTATGCAGAAAGCAAAATAATAAAGTTGAATATTTAGCTGAAAGGATTTCCAAGCAAAATGTTAAAGATGAGGCCTGGTTTCTTCTTGATGCTGATAGTAAAATGCAAGAGGAAAGATAAATTGAGGGAAGAACTTTAAGTGAAGAGGAATCAGGATTGATGATTTGGGAAATTCCCAGCCAATTACATTGCAAAAACAGTAAAATTAGGAGATTCACCATCAGGAAAGCATGCTCTGGAGAGAAAGCCAAGGACATGACTAGGCAACCTTTGCTATTGTCTCAAAAGAAACAAAAAGAGTATTAAATCACACAGAGGGGCTCTCTTTGAAAAAATTAGGAGTGTGACTCATGGATCATGTTATCCATTTAAGTACAAGCTAGGAATAGAGATAGGGTTATTCAGGAGTGATCCACACAAGAACCTCTTGCCTAATGTAGTAAGTTTCTGTGATATATCCAGGAGACACCCTAGTTCTTGAAAATGTTATACCAGCAGAAACACTGCCAACTTTGAGACAGGAAGGCTGGTTGGTTTCCTGTTTTGGAGTGGTTTAGAGAAAAAGAACAAAAGCTCCTTACTCAAGTTGTAGCTTACCTAACTTCCAGCCAATCAGCAATAAAAGATCCAAGAAGCTGTTAACCACAAGTTCCTGCTTTAGGGGATTAGGGGCTTCCCTGAGGCCCCATATGCATACTTAGATTTAAACTTCAACTCATAGTTACCCCTTCCTCTGGACTGATGATTCATTTTTCCTTCCATTCTCTCCTTTTATAGGGTTGAACTGCACGTGTCCACTTGTATGCAGATGTTTTTCACCAAATGGGGATTGAAAATCCAGTATTCTTGGGATGTAAAACCCACATATATGGAGGGCTAACTTTTCATATACACAGGTTCTGCAGGACCTACTGTGGGACTTAAGTATGCTAGGATTTTGGTGTACACAGGGGGCCTGGAACCAGTCCCTTGCATATACTGAAAGACAACTGTATTTGTAACTAGTATCTTATGTTGGTCACATCATTGTATTTTGGGAGAAAATAACTTATTTTCTAGTTTTATAGGTCCACAGATGGAGAGTTTTTCCCCAGGATGAATCATACCCAGAATGTCACTAACACCGAACTCAGATGGTTAAGATAAGATTTGGGACTTTTAAGCTGATAAGATTTAGGTAATATATCTGACTTTGAATTGATTCTATAGTGAATTGAGACTGTGGAGTATATTGGGATGGGGTGTATGTATTGTGCATATAGAATGGATATAAACCTTTGGGGACAAAGGGAAGACTAGTAGGCTAATGGCTCACGAAACATGTCTACATCCTAATCCCTGAAACCTGTCAATATGTTGCCTTATGTGGCAAAAGGGACTTCACAGATGTGATTAAGTGAAGGATCTCAAGATGAGAATATATCTTAGGTAACCCAGTGTCATCACAAAGGTCCTTATAAGAGAGAAGCAGGATGGCTAAAGACAGAGATGTAAAGTAGAAGAAGAGGAGCCAGAGAGTGGGAGCAACCCCTGGAAGATAGAAAAGGCAAGAAAACTGATTAATCCTGAGAGCCTCCAGATGGAATGCTGCTGTGCTGACAACTTGATTTTAGCCCACTGAAACTGATTTTAGACTTCTCTACTCTACAACTGTAAGAGAATAAATTTGTGTTGCTCTAAGTCACTAAATTTGTGGTAATTCGTTACAACAGCAACAGGAAACAAACTCAGGAACCAACATGAGTATGAAGCATATGTGGTCTGCTGTGCTGTAATGAAGTTTTTGTCTCTGACCCAAGACTCTTGTGTCTTCTGGCAGCATCCACGAGACTATGGCAAGCTAACTTGCAGGAGGGGCAAAATCTTAGACTATTCACAGTTCTTAATATTTTGTTCATAAAAATGATAATATAGTCATGGGTATTTGTCTAACTTTTAAATATCTTTCAATCTTCTGATCAATAAATCTACTTCTAAATAAGATACCACTAAGTAGCTGTGAACTTTAATAATGGCCCATGATTTATATCTCATTAAATAAATTACGAATATTCATACTCATATTAGAAGTTAAACTCTGGCCAGGCTCACACCTGTAATCCCAGCATTTTGGGAGGCAAGGCAGGTAGACCACTTGAGGTCAGGAGTTCGAGACCAGCCTGCCCAACATATAGTGAAACCTTGTCTCTACTAAAAAATACAAAAATTAGGTAGGTGTGGTGGCACATGCCTGTAGTCCCAGCTACTTGGGAAGCTGAGGCAGGAGAATCACTTGAACCTAGGAGGTGGAGGTTGCAGTGAGCCATCCAGCCTGAGTGACAGTGCAAGACTCCATCTCTCAAAAAAAAAAAAAAAAAAAAGTTAACAACTCAGTATTCTTTAATACTCTTGCTCTCTTGCATAAAAAATTCATGAAAATAGCATCTATTTGTAAAAATACGTTAGTCACTTTAATTACAAAAAAAAAAATTCCGGGCTTTGTTTTACTGTTTAGTGTTATAGTCTTAAAGAATGATATTTTCTTTATAATACAGCATAGAAAAAGGATTTGTTTTAGCGAAATAATCCCTAAGTGAAATCTCATGCATGACTCAGATCACCAGAATCCCAGAGATTAAGGAAGAGTCAGCACTGCCTACTCCAAGAGACATTATAAACATGGTACAACTTTTTGGGGAATAAAAAATTGGATGTGTGAAAATAAAGAACCAGAGAAAATTTCTGTGCAGTCAAATGCATTTATTTTATAGCTTAAGCAAGACAGGTGGTGAACAAATTCATAATGAAAATGCCACCCAGAGATTAACAGCTTGCCATGCATGCAACTGTGTGCACAAAACCAAGTTGTTTTAACACCAGTCTGCAGTGTTGATTCCTCCATAAATTAACTCTGTGTTGCTCACAAGTTTACATAACTCAGGCCACCCTGAATATCTGCTAGTGGGGAATTTACAACCCACTGACCATCTCAACTCAAATACAGATGACTATCACCCACACATCTGCCAAGGTAATAGCATGGCAAATAGTATTTTTCTTGTTCTGTAGCCAATGGCACAGATACACCAGCACAGAGATACCCAGAAGGCACCTCCCCTCACTCAGCTGACAACCTTCCTAATTTTTCTTGGGGACAAGAGTACCATGCATGACCTATGAATTGGTACGTATTCTGAGGCACGGGATGGCTGTCCCCAGGTTAGAGCATGGGTGGTTGGAAGTTCTCAGAAGAGCTGTTTCAGCACAACCCACCAGAAACATTGGCCACCGTGACTGTGCAAGATGAGTCTCCTGACATTCTGGCAGACACTCAGACCCCCTGACTAAAGCTTGGTTCAATTAAGGGTTGAGTGGAAGGTACAGAGATTTGGAAGAGCCTACAAGAGGTACGAGGCAGTACCCTAGTTTATACTGTTTTGTGTATAGCTTAGCCTCATCTGAAGGCAAAGTCATAAATTCACAAAATATTAGAGGTGGGATGGATCACTCCAGACACGTCAACCTACAGTTAAAAATGGGTCAGCCCAGACAGGTAAAACAACTTGCTAAAGGTAGAGCATGGTAGTGGCAGGGCCAGATTTAGAACATGGTAGGCTAATCCTCACCCAAGAATGCTGACAATAGTATTTGGCCAAATTTTTCAACAAGGAAGATGAGCTAGTGTAAATCAGAGGTGTCCAATCTTTTGGCTTCCCTGGGCCACACTGGAAGAAGAGTTGTCATGGACCACACATAAAATACACTAACACTAACGATAGCTGATGAGCTTTAAAAAAATAGCAAAAAAAATTTTTTTTAATCTCATAATGTTTTAAGAAAGTTTAAAATTTGTGTTGGGCCACATTCAAAGCTGTCCTGGGACACATGACATGGGCTGGACAAGCTTGTTGTAAATACTTTAATACCGCCAAAGCTCCGAATGTATTAAAAAGCAAAAACAAAGCAAAACAAAAAACCACTCAGCTTAATCAGCTCAGCTCTCTTCTAAAGGGGTCTCTTCTCTATCTCTCTGTCTCTATCTCTGTCTCTCTCTCTCCCCCAAACACACACAATTTTGGTGGGTGTAGATTTCTTGCCACATAAAGATAGAATCCACATCTTCAGGAAGACCCTTTACAGAGCATATTTCTCAATCCAGGTCTTTATGTGAGGTCTGGGAAAGTGGCTTAGTTTCCAGAACAATAGGTGGTTCAGAAATCAGAAGATCATCCTCCCCAAAGGAGTTCTGGTCTGTGTTCACAAAGTTGGGGATGTCAAACTTCATGAGCCTGTTCAGCTCCTCCTCTGGCTGCCCACTGCTTCTGATGGCTTCCTGGAGTTGAACATCACTGTCAAGGGCTGTGGTCTGGTGACAAGTTTTGGCTCTGTCCAAGCGTTCCACCTCATTGATGTAGCAGTGAAAGAGAGACCTGGACTCCTCGTTGCCTTGGCGAGAAAATACCTTATCTGGCTCCAGAGGTCTTCCAAAGTCTGACACAAAGCTGTTCATTCTGAATCTCTTCTCTGAGGACTCTGCATTGCTATTTTTAAAAAAAGAAAACAAAAGATTACTTACACTCCAGCCCATTCGCCTGCAGAATCATGGTTTTCTGCATGTAGGGCAGGCCAGCACATTTCCACTAAGCACCTATTGATTGTAAGCCCCTTGCATGGCATGCAGACAAACATGAGAAATAAGAGAAATCCCTTCTGAACATGTACAAATAAACCCAAGGAAAAGGGTTCAAGATGAGGGCCCCCAGATCATCCTGAAAACAGACACCTTGCTGAGGAATTCCCCAATATTCTGCAGACACACTAGTATTTTTCAGTGGAATTCTTGGACCATTCACATCATACTTACTTGAAGTGCTTCTTAAAATGCAGATTCCTTGGTCACAGACCCTCAGAATCTGTGAATGTAGGTTCAGTAATATGCATTTTCATATATTCTCTAAGGATCATTACTCATACTGAAGTTTAGAACCACTGGCCTAAAAATAACAATACTATCTCATAGGGGTACATTAAATATTTGTCAAAATGCTATAATAACAATTTTTCTCACTTGATTCTCTAAAGTAACCAAAACAGTCACTTAGGGCAAGAATTATGATATGCATTTTACAAACGTATGAACTAAGGTAAGGAACAGTCAAATTGCCCACTTAGTCACACAATCAGTTTGTGATATGAGTGGGAATAAATCCAAGATTCCTAATTCCTTGTTTCCTTTAATGTGGAACAAATAAGCAGTTCAAGGGGAATAAATGAGTCAATGAGTGAATAAAACAACTCTCAATTAGTCCCACAAGTGCATGAAAGAGCCCAGGTAAGCTGAGAACCTGATACTCCATCTACTTTCATCACCATCCTTTCCAGGCAATTCTTAAATAAGAATTGCCCATGCACAGGTAGTGACTCCTTAAGGGCACAAATCATTACTGAACGTGTTTTCAAGTCCAGAACAGAACCTGACAAAAATCAGGCTCTGGAGTTTGTGCTCAACAGATGTGCAATCCTCTCAGTGTTTCCAGTTCTTAAATCTCTTCCTTCCCATCCTATCACTCAGGGAAAAAGCACTTATGACCAAATTCTAGAAGAATCTGGGCAGAGGAGGGGAAAAAAAAAAAAAAAAAAAAAAAAAACCACAAGTCTGGAAAACCTGATCATATATCACTAAACTCCAAATCATCAAAATCACCTGGATTTCAGAGGTCAGCAACCCTAGAAGGTTTGTAATCCAGCTAGCTGAAGGAATTTTAATATCAGATCTATCTCCTAGCATGGTTACCTGGGTTACATCAGACAAGAAATCCTCTCAGAAACCTGCATTTTTCCTTTTAGTAATAAGCCTGGTTAACAATTTTCATTGCCCACTACACAAACACGTTGTGAAGGTCAAGGCTTTATGCAAGAATCCAATATTCTATTATGTCAGGTATTCAGAATTCAGAGAAAATCATTTTAGAGGACTGAAGATTTATGCTTTAGTGCAAATTTACATGGTCTTCTTTGTCTTTCTGTAAATTAGTTTCCCTCAACTGTCATTTCACTCAGGTTTAAAAGATATTTGAGAAAACGGATGAGTGTGCCAGCAACCTGTAACCTGATAAACTAAAATGTCACCTAGGAAAAAGATTGGCTTAAAGCTGTGAAAGGAAAGTATCTTGGACTCCCCCAAATCACTAAGCTAGAGGGAAAAGTCAAACTGGGAGCTGCTTAGGGCAAACCTGCCTCCTCTTCTATTCAGTCACCCCTCTGCTCACTGAGATAAATGCATATCTGATTGCCTCCTTTGGAGAGGCCAATGAGAAGCTCAAAAGAATGCAACCATTTGTCTCTTATCTCTCCTTACAACCTGGAAGCCCCCTCCCTGCTTCAAGTTGTCCCACCTTTCCAGACTGAACCTGTTGCAGGAAGTCAGGGACCCCAAATGGAGGGACTGGCTGAAGCCACAGCAGAAGAACATAAATTGTGAAGATTTCATGGACATTTATTAGTTCCTCAAATTAATACTTTTATACTTTTATAATTTCTTACACCTCTCTTTACTATAATCGCTGAACATAAATTGTGAAGATTTCATGGACATTTATCACTGCCCTAATCAATACTCTTATAATTTCCTGTGCCAGTCTTTAATCTTGTTATGTTACATTAATCCTGTCATCTTCATAAGCTGAGGATGTATGTCATCTCAGGACCCTGTGATGACTGCATTGTCTGCACGAATTGTCTGTAAAGCATGTGTGTTTGAACAATATGAAATCTGGCCACCCTGAAAAAGAACAGGATAACAGCGATGTTCAGGGAACAAGGGAGATAACCATAAGGTTTGACTGCCTGAGGGGCTGGGCAGAATAGAGTCATATTTCTCTTCTTGCAGAGAGCGAATAGGAGAAATATCACTGAATTCTTTTCTCAGCAAGGAATAGCCCTGGGAAAAGGATGCATTCCCAGGGGGAGGTCTCTAAAATGGCCGCTCTGGGAGTGTCTGTCTTATGCGGTTGAAGATAAGGGATGAAATATGCCCTAGTCTCCTGCAGAGCTCTCAGGCTTGCTAGGATTAGGAAATTCCAGCCTAGCAAATTCTAGTCAGACTGGTTCTTTGCTCTTGAACCCTGTTTCCTGTTAAGATACTTATCAATGACAATGTGTGCCCAGCGGGATGGAACCTCATCAGTAATTCTAATTTCACGCTGGCCTTGTGATCTTGCTCTGTCATTTGCCTTGTGATATTTTATTGCTCCTTGAAGCTTGTGATCTTTGTGATTTACTCCCTGTTTGTACCCTTCTCCCCTTTTGAAATCCCTAATAAAAACTTGCTGGTTCTGAGGTTCAGTGGGCATCACAAAACCTGCTGACATGTGATGACACTCCCAGAGGCCTAGCTGTAAAATTTCTCTCTTTTGTACTCTTTCTCTTTATTTCTCAGACTGGCCAACACTTAGGGAAAATAGAAAAGAACCTACGTTGAAATAGTGGGGGCTGGTTCCTCCGACATGAACCAATGTTCATCTTACATATGTTGATTGATGTCTCATGTCTCCCTAAAATGGATAGAACCAAACTGCTCTAACCAACTTGTGTGCATGTCTTCAGGACCTCCTGAGGCTGAATCATGGGTGCGTGTCCTCAACCTTGGCAAAATAAACTTTCTAAATTAACTGAGACCTGTCTCAGATTTTGGGGGTTCACAAAGCATTTGGAGAAAGCATAATTAAGATTGCTGGGGCCCACACCATTCCTCAATTCCAAGGCTAAGAAGCTCTGAGAAATAGCTTTTCTGCCTACCTGTGGCACCAGCTGAGTGTGACAGCAGACCCAGAAGCCCAACTGTGTGTGGCTGCTCTTCCATAACACAGCTATGTTTCCTGGAATTAAAGTCCATTAATTACCTTTGTTGGAGACTAAGGCACAAGAGACCACGAGAATTTTGTCCCTCCCCAGGACAGTGCTAAGGCAGTATACATTAAAGCCCCTCTGAGGTGCCTTTCCTGCCCCCTGAGGCTACCCTGTGCTCCCATGGCTACCCCCTCCCCTCTAGCTTCCTCCTGATGATCCCTTGGTATGGCAACAGTACAATGTGTCTGATTCTCCCCTCCTGAGAAGAGCAAAAAGTTCATCTTTGTACTGTTAGAGTCCAGTAAATATTAAACACTCAATATACTGGACTTCTATTTGTCTCTTCTTTCCTTGACTGATAAACAAAAGGACCTGTAAGTTGTGGAAGTTGTCAGAATAAATCTGGAGTCACTTAATGTTATATATAAAAAAAAAATCCTGATGAATAGAGCTGGGGAAGGCCATGACGTAGGAATTCTCACTCACAAATGTCTGATAACAAAAACCGTCACGAAAGACTGCAAAAACCATAACCTTGCACAAAAAAAACCCATAAGGACATCTGCCCAGCAACTGCCTGTCCAACCTGGAACTGGCACCGCCCATATTGTTCCTTGTAGCTAAGGATCACTATCTCCAAACAACCATGTAATCCTCCTCACTTTTCCTCTAAAAACTTTTGTCTTCTTTTCCTTCCCAAAATATGCACATAGGTCACATGGCATGAGTATTCCCACTGCAATGACCCATTACCATGTAAACATCATTTTCTTTTAGAGAACCTCTCAGTGTTTGTTTTTTAGGTTGACATAAATGGTTTCCAGAAGTGGAACCTGAAGCAAGATCACTTTTGGAAGGAATCAGTGATTCTTGGAACCTGTGGGCTGTGCTCACCTTGAGCCCTTTGAGCTCTCTGCTTCCATGGCTCACCTGTTCTGCCCTGGCAAGCTTTCACTCAGGCTAAGCTCCTTCTTCCTGAGAGAGGCTTTTTGACTTTATCTGAGATTTGGTTTGGTTATAAGCCTACCTTCAATGAAGAATGCTGCATCTCTCTTGGAACCATAAAATTCTTTTTTTGGCAAGCCCTTCCTGAGAAGCATCCTTGTGGAGAGTACTCCAGTTTCTACGGAATTTACAATCTGTCTTGGAGGCATATCTTTCCTGGTGAGTTCATTTTTGGTTCTTTCTGCATGCCTAGTTTAATATTTTGTTTGATCTGCATGCCTGGGTTAAAATTTCTTTGAACACTCTGATTTGGCTTTGGTTATGCATGTGTGTAAATGATTTGGCCCTTCCCCCTTGCTTGTTTCTGAAAATCTTCCAAGAGCAAAATAAACATCCTAAATGGTGGATGCAGGATGGCTAATTAAAAACCACTATATCAGATGCCACTGTGTAAGACACCAGTCTAAACTCCTGACATTTTCCTGACAAGATTTAATGAATTTTCTTTGCACACCAGTACAAACTCCTGATGTTCCCCTGACACGATTTATGGGATTTTCTTTGCTTTTAAGACATTAATAAGAAATGAAATGAGATTCTCAAACACGAAGGCATGCCAGGTCTTCTGGGACTCCAGCTGGCTACATGGCTTTTCCTGGTGCACACAAACTCAATGTGCATCATGGAGATCATTCAAACTCCCCAAGCCTGTTTTTCTTAGAGCTGAAATAGAAACTGCAACTACAGA